GACGACAAAGACGGCCGTCGAGAAGGGGACCAGGAAGAGGTACTTCCGGTGTACGGTGACGGCAAAGATAAAGAGGGCCAGCTCAAAGTAGAACATCTGCTCGACGGTGTTGCCCAGAATTCGGTTCGCCTTCTCCACCAGGTGTTCATTTCCCGCCAGCGGGTTGCGGGCGATAAAGTGTCGCAGGCGACAGTAAATGACGGCGAGAATGAGGAACTGCAGAACCTCGACGGGGTAAACTTGAAGGCGAAGTGTGTAGGACAGTCGGGTAATGGTTTCACTTGAAGAAGAAGAAGAGGTTTCACTTGAAGAACTTGAAAGGGGAAAGTCAAACACTTGAAACGGTTCGGCTCGAGTGCTCCAAAGGTACGCCAGGACGGCAAAGTAGCTGATAAAGCCGATGATAATGTGAATCACCACGTGGAGAGTGCTGTACATGTCAGTCTGCTGAAGTGTTGTTGATGATGATGGGTTAGCAGTTTTCACGGTAGCGGAGCTTCGCTCTTTTCTGGAAGTGCTATTCACCACTATTTTCGGTATGTTTTGGTTAGATGAGCTCATGTTGTGAAGATTTTTGTTGTTGTGGTAAATTCTAAGCTACACAATATAATAATTGGTTAACAATGCTGACTAGTGAAAAAATACTAAACAATTTCTGTCAAGTTTAAAAACTTTCAAGTGAAAAGTGTTTTGAAAATTTTTTTAAGAAGTTTGACTTGACAAGTTTCAGCTACGGTAATTTTTTATTATTGACACTACAAATGTGTAGCGTTTTTTCAAGTCGGGAAATAAACCGCATTTTGTGAGTGTTACCTTTTTACTGTGAAAGAAATGCAACTAAAAGTGCACATACACACACTTTGGGAAAAACACCAAAAAAAGCAGCAAAATACTGATTAAATGTTAAGTTTTATTGTAAAGTAAAGTAAAGTATTTCACAACAAGTAACATTAGCAGTACTTCAAAAGCATAATAAAGTTTATTAACTTTTTTTTATCAAACCCAAATCACTTCCGTTTTTAAATGTTTTGTGCGCTTTAAAACAACCCTACAAATCGACCTAAATTGTACCAGATCATCACGTGAGAGGGCGTAAAGGAGAAGGCAAAACCCAGAACTCGATGTCTCGGGTGAATATTGTAGCCGATCATGAAGGCAATTCGGCCAAAGGTAAAGAGGCCCACCGCCAGCGGAATCAGGTAGAAGAACCTCTCCGGCACCTGAAGACTGAAGATGAGAATGTTCACCACGAAGAGCACCGTCTGCTCGACGCTGTTCTGCAGAATCTTCGACTGCGCCAGGAAGTGGTGGTCCTGGCCGGCCAGCGGATTCTTCGCCCCTGGAGTGCTCAGCCGTCCTCGCATCACATTGAAGATGGCGAAAAGATAGGCCAAAGCAGGGAAGAGGAGCAGTTTGAAGGTGTAGAAGAAGCGGTCCGTTTCGGAGGCCAAATTTTTGGGCAGCTTGATGCCGAGGTGGGCGTAAAATTTGACGTAGAGGGCGACGGTGATGGCGAGCAGGAGGAAGGCGGTGCCCATGCCGATGGGCAGGTTGATCTCCTCCTTCTCTTCCTCTTTCTTTTTGGTGTCGGCCATTTGGTTTGTTTGGAGTTGAATTTAGAAAGGAGAGAAAAGTTGAGTTTAGAGATGATTGATTTTGGTGGAGTAAATGTTGTGTTTGCTGCTGCAAAACTCGCTTCAGCTGTCACTGGTTTATATAATGACTATATAAGTGAGAATGACTTGGCGGTTTTTGTTGGCTAGTTTGGCGGTAGTTAAAGTGTGATGATAGTGATGAAATCGGCCTGAAACTTGCCACTGGAACACACACACACACACACACCAAATCAGTCTGGCGGTACAATGCGGTGTTGTCACTGTTGACTGTCACTCAGTCAGGCAGGCAGCTATTTTCAGGCATCGTTTAATTGAACGCTGTCTGCAAGCACACTCAATCACATACACAAGCACGCACATTTCTGTGTTGAGGCACGTCCTCAAGGTCAAAAGATAGACTGAAAGGGAAAGAAAAAAACAAAATTTGAGAAAGAGAAGGAGTACAGAGTGGGCATCCAAAATAAATAGCAATTAAAAATCTATTTACCAGATTGGATACAGCAGCAGCAGCAACAACTGCGATGCACAAGTGAAATGCACTTTAAGTGCAAAGTTTGAAGTCACAGTTATTTTCCACGTTCACCATGTATTTTTCCCTTCTCTCTCTCTCTCTCTCTCTCTCTCTCTCTCTTTCTCTCTCTCTCTCNATCTGTCTGCCAGTGTTTGTTTGCACAGAGGAAAAAAAGGACAAACGATAGATTGTTGGCATGCAAACAACCTCTCTCTCCAACTGTCGTCCAACTTTTGCTGCTCATCTAATCAAAATGTACCATTTTTAAACCTTTGTGACTAGCACTTGTTTTGCTCCTTCAATCTGTTGAAAAAGTTACAAATCAAAGTTCATCCTGGTTGAGCTTTGCGTTTGCAGACTTCTACAGGCGCCAATTTGTTTGTGCTAGAGGAACACACATCGACCACTTTGCACTATGCACGTTTTTGCACTTTTCTGATAACACGAGAGAGCAACACCACAAAGTTAATCAAACAAGAACAAAAATAGGCAAACAGCAACAGTTTATTTTTGTGAAATGTTTTTTATTATAATCATAAATTTTTCATTTTTCATTCTAAATAACGTTTGAACTGCTCAACTAAGATTCAGCTAGTGAACTAAATTACATGTACTAATTTAACTTGAATAATAAGGAAATCTTTTTCATTTTCTTTTCTTCATTCATTTTCTCTTACACAATCCCAACCACCCGAAACAGATTGTAGGTAAAAAGAAAAGCCACGGGCGAAAATGAAACAGTAAAGCCAAAGGTGCGATACTTGGGGTGAAGTGCGTAGCCGGCGTGGTAGACCACCCGTCCAAAGGTGTAGAAGAAGGTGATCAGCGGCAGGAGCAGGTAAAAGAGGTGATCACCACCACCACCACCACTTTGGTCCACCGCAAAGACAAGCACATTGAAGCTGAAGAAGGGCAGCTGCTCGATGCTGTTGAGGAGAATCCGATTCTGCAGCTGGTGGACGGCCACCTCGTGCGAGCCGAGCGGATTTCGAGCCAGCGGATTGAAGGCCCGCGTCAGCATGATGATCATGTACGAGGTGAAGAGGGTGGCCAGGGGGAAGATGTGCAGGCGCAGGGCGGTGATCAGGCGGTTCAAGGTCGGAGAAGAAGAGGAAGAGGGTGAAAAGAAGTTGAGGTGATGAACTCCCTCAAAGCCACCATCACCACCAAAGCTCTGGTGCCAGGAGAGGTAGCCAAAGGTGGTGACGGCCAGAAAGGAGTACGCCGCCACCAGTTGAATGGTGGCAAAGGCGAAGGTGTAGTGCGTTCGCATCCAGGGCACCACTTTGGGCTCCATAGGATCAGTTGATTGTGGTTTAGAAGTTTGAGCCATTTTAGCTGCTGCCAGGAAAGTTTTGTGTGTAAAAGCAGAACAAAAATTAAAAACTTTGATCAGTTTTTTGTTTTGACTTGCAGATTTTTTTTCTGGTAGATGTGTGTGTGCTGTGCTGTCTCCTGGCAGCAGTTTTTGCTGTTTTGTTGTTTTTATAAAAAAATTTTGAGCAGTTTTGTTTTTCAATTTTTACTCGCTAACTGTTTTGAGTGTTGCGTGTGTGTGTGTGTGTTCGCTTTTTGATAACATCCTTTATTTACTGCTGATAAATGTGAGTTTGCATTATTTACATTTTAAACATTGTCAGAGCGGGAAAATATTTTCCTGTGTGTTGATTGCAACGTTAACGCAAAATACTGATAATCTTTTTGAGTAAATTCAAAATATTGATAATACACTTTGTTGTCGTGTAAGTTGATGAGTTGTTTGTTTTTACTGCTTTTTTAAACTTTTATAGTTAAAAAACAAAAATAAACCGATGTTGATGTGTGCAAATAAGAACAGAATTATAAATTTAATTGTCAAAACAACCACAAAATAGCACAACTAGTTAATAAATTAAAAACTGTTTAAAATACAATAAAAAAATTAACTTGTGCATAAATTACAAAAAAATATTAATAAAAAGCTATTAAATATCAATAATTAAAAACTTTTCAAAAATTTTCACCAGCTGCATATAATAAAAAAATCCTCTTTTAATTCCTTGCTGGATCGACCACCACCGCCACCACTGCAGCCGCCTCCTTCTCCACATCCTCTCTTGGCAGCCTCTTATCAACACTGCCGCCGCTGTCAACACTGCCGCTGTTCCACTTTTGAATACTATTGGAGCCGAAGAGGACGAAGACGACGCCGGTGAAGGAGAAGATGAGCGCCGAGATGTAGAAGACGTAGTGCCAGGCGGCCAGCTCGGCGTCCACCGAGATGGCCGTCGTGAACTCCAGGTCTGAGGCCGAGGTATCGCCGTCTACGGACGCCCCCGCTCCTCCTCCTGTTTGCAATTGCGAGGAGAGCAGCTGACTGACCAGCAGGGGCACGAGGACGCCGGCAAAGTTGGCCACGAAGTTGGTCATGCCCATCAGCGTGCCGGCGAAGCGAGGGCTGAGGTCGACGTGGGTGACGGTGAAGCCGGCCATGCCGATGCCGTTCACGCCCAGGGCCGCCGTCAGCAGGGCAATGTTGGCGCCCCGGTGCCGCTCGGTGAGCGTTATTAGGTAGAGGCAGAAGGCGGTGCCGAAGAAGGCGATGCTGTTGAAGGTCTTCCGCAGGGTGGCCAGCCGGAAGCGGCCCGAGGCGAGCAGGCGGTCGCAGAGGAAGCCCACTGAGCTGGAGGTAATGGCCTGGCTGAGATACGGGAGGGCGGAGTAGTAGCCGTTCTGGNGCCCGAGGCGAGCAGGCGGTCGCAGAGGAAGCCGACCGAGCTGGAGGTGATCGCCTGGCTGAGATACGGGAGGGCGGAGTAGTAGCCGTTCTAGAATTTAGAGAAAAAATCGTATTAAGATTTTACTAACAAAAGAAAGTCACCTACCGATCGCAGGTCAAAGCCTAGCTCCTTAAAGTACCGCGGCAGTTGCGTCAGCATCGTGTAGAAACCCCAGTGCTGGCCAAAGTGGGTGATGGTCAGCGCCCAGACGGGCACCGAGGTGAGAATGTCTCGCCAGGGAATGACCACCCGCTCCTTCTTTTTCGTTTCCTGTTTCTGGGTAAAAGCACTTCCGGTAATGAGGAGCAGCTCCGCCCGACTGATGGTCGGGTGTTCGGCGGGCGTCTCCGAGACGAGCCACGCCCAGGCGGCGAACCAGAGGACGCCCACGGCGCCCATGCTGTAGAAGACGGAGGGCCAGCCGCCGAAGAGGGCTGAATCGGAAAGCAGGGCGGCCACGGGCATCGTCAGCACCGTTCCAATGGACATGCCCGAGTAGATGATGCCGGCGGCGGTGCTGCGCTCCGAGGGCGGGTACCAGTGGGCGATCATCGAGTGCATCGTCGGGACGGCGCAACCCTATCAAAGGAAATCTCAGATAAAATTAGAATTTTTCTAAAACATTCTCAAACATTCTCTCCTCGTACCTCAAAAAATCCCTCCAGCGCTCGACAGGCAATGAAGGCGCCGTAGTGCCAGCGGGCGGCAAAGGGGCTCAGGATGGTCAGAATGGCCGTCCCCAGAATGCTGGTCCCCAGGAGCCATTTTCCGCCGAATCGGTCGGCCATCTGCCCGCCGGGCAACTGCAGCACCACGTAGCCCCAGAAGAAAGCGCCCAGCACTAGGCCCTGCGTTTTCTCGCTCCAGTCAAACTCGCCGGTGTGTTTGCCACTGCTCATTTCAAGGTGTAAATCAGGATTCTCCAGAAGTCTCGGAGATTGAGTGCTTGAAAGTGGCGTGTCCAGTTCCAGTTCCGGTTCCGGTTCCACTGTTAGGGAGCTGTTGGAACTGTGGACCAGTTGTTGTTGGCCAGCTGCCTTGTCCGGGTGACGGACCATGCTGACGATGGCCACCGAGAGGTTCACCCGAAGACTGTAGAGGACGATCATGGCGAGGAAGCTGAGACAGGTGAAGATGTGCCGTTTTTGAAGGCATCCTGAAATCATTTGTATTTGTATTTGCAAATTGTGAGCACAAAAAATCAAAATATAAAAACTGTCAATTTTTTAAAGGTTAAAAAGTTTACCTGTTTTTTCATATTGATCACACTTTCCCTCCCAGTCCACAGCCGGTGCAAACTTCTCCAGGCTGGTCGTTGATGCATTGACTGAAGAGGAAGCCGAAGAGAAAGAGGCAGAAGATGACGAAGAGCCAGAATGTCGGCCGGAAGTGAGCTGCGAGGCGTCATTCAGCGGCTTCATTGTAGTGCACTCGTCGTTGTCAGACAACTGATTGGGTTTGAACTTTTTTGCTTTCATTATTTTTGGACGTTTTGCAAAAAATATAAAACTCAAAAGCGAATGATTTTTTTAATCAATGCAGTATTACCAGTGCAGTAGAAGAATTACAAGTGAATCACAGGCGTGGTGTGGGCCGATGGTGGGAGCGAAAAAATGTGCCGATGAAAAAGAATAAAAAAAATAAACCGGCTGCTGTGCAACCCTGTTGTACAGTTTAACTTTTTCTACAAATGTACAATAATATTGCTTGAAAGCGGGGATTAAAAGGGCGAATAATTTTAAGATAATCACTAGCAGAAGATCAGCAGTATGGTATAATTACTGACTTCAACTTTTCAATTCTATCAGTATCACAGTTGATAAGCGCAAATGGTTGAATAATTCTAAGAAACGAAGATTTAATGTTTGAGATCACAGCAGATTGATCAGTGCAGGTGATTGAATTCACAAACAGCTAAAATGCGCACAATGTAACAGATTTATGCAAAGCTTGAAACACTGTTGCAGCTACACATCAAAATGATGATAAGTCTGATAATGTGATGTTTAATTTTTGCCTGACAGCACTGGTCAGCAATAAAACACAAAAAGGTATGAGTGTTTTGAGCTGTGCCTGCCTGCTTTAACTGCAGTGTCTACCTAACTAAATATATTGACTGCAGAAAATGATGCAGAAAGAACCTTCTTTTTGGCATTTATCTCTCTCTCTCTCTCTCTCTCTTTCTCATTAACTGTCAACCTTTTCCCGAGGACATCACTGGATAGCTCGCTCTCTCTCTCTCACTTTTTTACCCAGGCAACGGCAGTGACGGAAAAAGAGAAAAAGTCGACAAATGAAAACAAACATCAGCTTTGCTTTGTCACGCATCAAACGCTGTCACGCTTTAGTTTAGTGTTTTGGCATTTTCTCTCTCTCCTAGCTCTCTCGTTCGTTTTTTCTCAATTACAATCCACAAGCAGGAAGTTTGAAGAGTGAGAAATGGAGAGAGAGAAAGAGTGAGAGTGAGCGTTTAAAAATAAACGAGTTACATAAACTTTAACGTGTGTGTAAGACAAGAGGAGAGAGAGAGAGAGAGAAAGAGAAAGAGAAAGAAAGAGAGAATGTCACAAGTGTGAGTGATGGATTTTATTCAGGTCAGGGTAGCGCCCGGAAAGGTCAAACATCAGAGAGAAGGTAAAAAAGGCTAAGTTTTGTCTAGGCAACAACAGTGGTCATGATGATGATAATGATGATGATGATAATGATAACAGTGGTAATGATAAGACGACTGGCAACACCACTGTCACTGGCCACCTGCTCTATCATGGACATCACACTGAAATCACAATCTTTGAATGAGGTAATAATCATCTCAATCATTTTTAACTTTTTCTCTCTCTCTCTCTCTTTTTCTTTCTTTCTTTACCGCTACCTTACTGTCACTTTTTTGTTGATATCAGTTTTGAAAATCTAATCGTCATTCAATCACACACACACAAAAAACACACAAAGTAGCAAACATGCACTCCCTTCTCAGTAATTTCATGTGCAAAACGGTGTGACAAAATCAGGTTTAGGACAAAATGAAAAAAAGAGTATAAACAGCAGAAACTGAGAGTGTGAGTGTGTGTGTGCGTTCACTTGGTTTTGATTAGCGAGATGATGCATACTTGATGCAGCAGCAGCAGCCAATATTAGTACGTTTTTGCACGATATTTTTTTGGTTACTTTTTGATGGTTGTTTAGAGAGAAAACCCGTAAAAAGAGTTGGTTGTTTTTCTTGTCGCTGCTGCTGTTGTTGCTGGGGTTTGGGTACCAGTGAAAAATGTGTGCAGACAAAAAACGTGCAAAACATTTTTTTTGTGCATAACTGAAACCTTTTTTGTTTCTGTGCTGTTACCAAGTGTTTTTACAGATGATCATGATGATGAGATTAAGTAGACCTGTAATTCACTTGTCAACCATAAAATAGCTGCATAACCATGCTAAAATAAATAATCAAATAAATAAACAAACAACAAATTGTATATTTTTTCTACAATAAAGTTTATAAAAGGTTAAAAAGCTTTAAAACACTGTAGATTAATAGTGAAATGGCTTGTTTTTTTTTGTAGAAAACCACTTTTTTATTGGGACTTTGAGAGTCAATGTGTGAGTGCTCTAAACACAAGTGTTGCTGGCTGTGGGAATAGACAAAAGATTAAACAGGGGGTGATGTTAC